CCAATCGTCCAATTCTAGCTAAGTCTTGGGCCAAGCCTTTCAAATCTTGAATTCTCTTGCAAAAATCTACAAGGATAGCTTCTCCCTCTCTATAAACCGACCCTCTCTCTCTCTCTCTCTCTCTAGAATATGATTTCAGCCAAGATGAGTTCCAAAGAAAGAATTGAGTATATATAGGCTTATTTATAGATTTGGCTAATCAAATTGATTAAGGCTAAGTAATAATGCTCTAATTTAATCATTCTGAATCTAATTATTTTGAATCGAATCAATTTTCAATTAAATTTCACCATAGGCTCTAAAAATTACGCTAATCACAATAGCGTAGTCAATTTTGGTTTCTGTGGCCGATAAGGCCTTTAATTTTCAGTTTACAATAGTAAGTTGAACAGATTTTCCTACGGTAAACAAATATAAGGCCAAAATCACACTTAATCATGCAATTAACACCCAAATTCAAATTAATCACATCATCACAACATAATTATGATTAATTAACTTAACACAAGACAGGGTTATCACAACAACCAAGTGGTTCTCAAATCACACAGCAATCACACAAACACTACAATTTACCATTTTACGAAAATTTCGTCCGCAGGAATCGGTACCCATGTATACGTGTGGTTTCGGGACTTTCACCCTGGACACACAGGCCAACTTAATTCAACGGAATCCATCCCCTATCTCCTACCAAACATGGAGTACATCGCCTTTCTCCTCCCAAACATTATTCATACAATGTATTTAAAACATAGTCATATTCAATGACAATTGACAAGATGTTAGTTTCAATTTACCTAATCCTCATGCAATTTCTACAACAATCATAGTTATCCTCCACCGATAACCCAATACAGATATTTCTAAATAGATATTCAATCTCAGGACAGATAATTTATTCAAATTCCGTAGGTGTGAGGTGATACATATCCAATTCCACCATTTATATCAATATCCATCTAATTTCAAATTTACAATACCAATTTTCATTTATTTATACAAAATAAATATCTGAACATTTTAGGGCAAACTCCCCTCTTTCCCAAACATCAACCCAAATGCCAAGGCCAACTATTTTGTCGCAATACAACCTCATTTTCAAACCCCATAATTCTTTACATCACATTCACTTAGAAACCTCTCTTTGATTTTGAACCCAAACCTTAGGTTTACTCTACATATGCCCAATTCCCACCATTGTTACACAACCACCAATAGCTAAGTTAAAAACCATAAGAAAGTGTAGAAAATCCCTACCTCAAATAGAAAAGACAAGCCAAGCAAGGATAAAACTTCAAAGATGTTCAAACCCAACTCTATTCGGATAAAAATGGAGATCTTGAGATGTTCGACCTTTTTATCAAAGGGATTATGGTAGAAAAACCACTAGATCTAAGTGAAAATATAGAGAAAATATGAGTTTTAGAGAGAAAGGCTCTAGATCTAGGGTTTCAGGAGGAAAAGAAATAAAAAAAGTGATGAAAAAGTGTGCTGCTGCAAACTGATATACGCACAGCCCGCTCGAGCGCAAGAAGTGACACTCGAGCGTCAAAAAAAATAAGTTGTTCCGCTCGAGCACAAAAAGTGACGCTCGAGCACAAAATACACACATCCAATAGTTTTGCAAAGAATAGGCCATCACTCGAGGGCAAGAAAGGCCGCTCGAGCATAGGAAACACCGCTCGAGCGTAGAACACACTCTCCCAGTAGTTTTGTAGGCCTGCAAAAGTATTGAGAGTTTGCAAAGCCTGCTTGAGCCAAAAAGTGCCACTCGAGTAGAGGACCAAAAACCTATGCAACATAAGGTTTGAAAACCAAGCGACCAACTTGTTCCAAACACAACCATAACAACCCAAAAGACAAACCCAAGGGACAACAAAGGGAATAAGAGATGAACAACAACATTATACCATGAAACCCAAGTCCGGAATACAACAAAAGGTCGGGTCAAAACCGGAATCACTATAAAACGTATAGGTGTCGATATCCGTTCATCTTATTTTTTACATGAATATTATACTCTGCGAATTCTCAAATATGAACTATTCGAATCATTGAAACGGGACATGTCATTACAAGATATAAGAGTGTTAGAGACCAAATTTGGTCTCTAAAAGTGAAAATTTTGTTGAAAAAAATATTTATGAACTAATTTTCATCCTCGTGAGGATAGTCGATAAAAGGTCGTCTCAAAAAGTCAAAAATAAAGCTTTTAGGGACAAAATTTTGAAAATGTCACCAAAATAAATAGAATTTTAAGGACAAAATAATTTAGTCTCAAAATAGTTTATTTTTTGAGACAAAAAATTTGGTCCCAAAACGATAATAATTCATCATTAATGTCCAATTTTTGTTGTTAAAAATATAATAACAACCCTTTTTGCAACAAAAATATCTGGTCCCTAAAAAATAATTTTGTCCCTAAATTTTGGTATCTAAAACTTTAATTTTTTGTAATGTGTGTTGGACTCAACAACCCCTCAAGTTCTCTCATGTTAATATGTGAACATAAAAGAAACTTAACCCAATTTAAAAATGTTGTTTCAAAATATTATAGGAATGTTTATTCATAAATCTCTTTCCATTTACTTACCATATAATCAAAATGTTTTGCAATGTTATAAGCATTTTCGGTATAATTTACTATTAACAAATAAAGAAAGAATTTTAGTGGTTTTTTTTTTTTTTTTGGATACAACGGAAAGTAATTTTAGTGGTTCAAAACTGGAAAGAGAGTAATGTAGGTATATATGTGTCCTTGAATCAAGCCACAAAATAATAGAATAATGACTAACAATTATATAAACATTAAAATGGAAACACAATAAAATTGGAAACTATATTGAATAATTTTGTAATAAAAGTTTATAACCGTCTTTACAAATAATAAGTTTATTTATATGCTTCTAGCAGTCTCTGAATTAATTTGTATTTTCACTTTTCAGGTCAAATTGTTTGGACAGATACAAAATATGATTAAAGAATTCAAGAACTTTGTACTTCAAGTTTTTTTATTTTTTAATACATGTAATCACAGTTAAAAACTTTTTATTAATTCCTTCGTACATACTTTTGAACATTCAACTTTCATTTATGAAATATATGACGTTATTCCATTTAATATGTGATTGTGATTCAAATGATAGTATATAGGGTGTATTACATTCTTCAAATGCACATACAAAAATAATATTGATTATTCTTCAAATATGTCGAACCATTTTTTTATCACACACATTAACCGTGATAGAAATGCATATAACGTATGATTTTACCTCATTATTAATCACAGGTTTTATTAGATATTAATCACACTTAAAATATGTAATCTAAATGTTTATTATCACATGTTTTATTAGTTATTAATCACACTTAAAATATGTAATCTAAATGTTTATTATCACATGTTTTATTAGTTATTAATCACACTTAAAATATGTAATCTAAATGTTTATTATCACATGTTTTATTAGTTATTAATCACACTTAAAATATGTAATCTAAATGTTTATTATCACATGTTTTATTAGTTATTAATCACACTTAAAATATGTAATCTAAATGTTATTAATCACACTTAAAAGATGTGATCTAAATATTTATTATCACACGCAAAAAGTGTGATGAAATCATCTTTTAATGACATTCAAAATGTGTGATTAAAAATGACAATTTTTTATCACACTCCCAAAGATCACACTTTGGCAAAACTTAAAACGTGCGATTAAATAACCTACATTACACATAAAAAGTGTGATCTATTTATAATTTTGTAGTAGTGAATTTACTGTTAACAAATAAAGAAAGAATTTTAGTGGGTTTTTCATTTTTTTGGGTACAATGGAAATTAATTTTAGTGGTTCAAAACTGAAAAGAGGGTAATGTAGGTATATATATGTGTCCATAAATCAAGCCACATAATAATAGAATAATGACTAACAATTATATAAACATTAAAATGGAAACACAATAAAACTGGAAATTATATTGAATAATTTTGTAATAAAAGTTTATAACTATCTCTACAAATAATAAGTTTATTTATATGCTTCTAACAATTTGCCATCTTACTTTTTATCAATTTTTAAAATACCAGTGGGCGTGGCTAAGCAGATTGAGAAGATTCAGGCAGCTTTTCTGTGGGGCAATTATGAACTCAAGAGGAAAGTCCATATGGTGAAATGGGAGGACATAGCAGTAGATAGATCACAAGGGGGTCTGGGGGTTAGAAAGCTGAGAGAAGTCAATAATTGTCTTTTACTTAAATGGTGGTGGAGGTTTGGAGTGGAGGACAAAGCCCTTTGGAAGCAAATGTTGAGGTGCAAATATGGTGTCGGTGGGGGAAACTGGATACCTACTGCACCAGAGTCTAGTTCAGTGTCCAGAGTGTGGGCTGATGTTCTCCACATTGATGCACATTGCCCTTGTTTGGTTGATTATTATATATCAAATTTTAAGTTAGTTGCAAGCAATGGGCAAAGACTCCAATTCTGGGAGGATAAGTGTTTAAATAACTTGTGTTTGAAGGAGAAATTCCCTAGGTTTTATAGCTTATTTGTGGAGAAGGGTTGCACAATTCTGCAGATGTATCAAAGGAGAGGATCAATTCAGGATTGGAATTTCCTTTTCAGAAGACCTCTGCTAGCTTGGGAGGAGGAGGAGGTTGTAAGGCTACAAGAGTTACTTAGGGATGCACCTTCACTCACAACAAATTCTGAGGACTCTTGCTTGTGGCTGGTCAATTCATCAGGTTCATACTCTATAGCTTCAGCATGGAAGTGGTGGGTGTCTATGAAATGTCCTGCTGTTGGTGTTACTGACATGATGTGGAAGAATATTGCCCCACCCAAGGTGCAATTTTGTGGTTGGTTAGCATGGAAAGGTAGACTTAAAACTTCAAGATTTCTTAAGAGGATTGGTGTGTTGAACATGGAAGCTAGTTCGCTGTGTTTGTTGTGCAAAGCAGAGGGGGAGATAGTTAACCATGTGCTACTGTTCTATCCTTTGGTTAGGAAAGTGTGGATTGATATATTGAAATGGTTGGATTTGGTTTGGGTACTGCCGGGGTCAGTTGATGGTACTTTGATCATTTCATCTATAATGGTAGGTTGTACACCATTTCCAACAGATAAAAGAAATTCACCAAACTGTTGGTCATTTATATAGCACATGTTTTGCTTTAAACGAAGTATTTGAATGTGACTCCAAAGAGGTGATTTGACTATCGATGCAGCAATAGTTTCCGCTTTTGTACCTTTAGGAACAAGTGGAAGTACTTGTCGAAAATCACCACCAAACACCATAATTTTGCCACCAAATGGACAATCAACACCAGTGATGTCTATGAGTGTTCGATTCAAGGCTTCAAAAGCATAACGATTTGTCATTGTAGCTTCATCCCAAATGATGACTGTTGCACGTCTAATCAGTTCTGCCAAATCTGATTGTTTAGTAATGGAACACACGGACGAAGCCTCTGGATTTAAGGGGATCTTGAATCTTGAATGGGCTGTCCTTCCACCAGGTAAAAGTGTAGCTGCAATTCCAGAAGTTGCTGTTGCAATGGCAATTCTCCCTTGACTTCTCACTGAGGCCAATAGTGCACAATATAAATATGTCTTTCCAATTCCTTCTAGGCCATCCACAAAGAAGATTGCATCAGTATTGCATTCCACAGCCTCCATGATTGAATTGAATGCTAAGTGTTGATCACTATTTAATGTGGCAATAGAATTTAAGTCTTCTCGAGGAGTTACAATGGAAAACTCATCTTGTATGACCTTTGGAACTGTTGAATTATCATCCAAATTTATTGTCATCTCAGGCAAATCGTATTCTGATATGTTCTTATTATACTGTAGTAGGAGACGGTTTATATCTTGCAGGGTTTTGTTAAGGATATACATATTATTCATACTGTTTGAAGATATGTAATCTTCAATCAAGTAAGGATAAATTTCATCCCACAAACTTCGCACCCCTGTTGGTACACAGTAAACCAAAATTGTAACGAACAATCTCCTTAAAGCTGATGGCATGTGCATGGTTGCAGCTTCTAACAAACATTGTCGTATGCTATCATCATGCTCTAACAAACCATGATGTTCAGCTGCTTGTTTAAAAGTTGGGTACGCAATTCCATTAACCATTAACAAATGATCGAATGATTTTGGTCCTCGGATATGATTGAGTAAAATTCTTAAGTAAAATCTCTCCTTTTCTGATGGCGAAACTGTGTAAATTCTACCAATTACTCTTTGATGGTTCAATCTTAACTGCCAAATCTTTGCGCTATTGCACCATCTATAGTGTTGCGGTATCTCTCGATATAAGTATCGATTCGCAGTTTCATCATCAACATTTAATTGAAAGAATTGGGTAAGCATTGTTCTGGAATAATACTCATCGGCTAAAACATTTTTGATGTCTTGGAACGTATAAAACCTCACTTGCTGCTTATTTGGTAAGTGTATTTGGAAGCGTTCTACGCTATGAGTCATTTTGGTCATTGAGAATTTGAATATTTTCCACAATGCTTCTGGAGCACAAACCCATCTTCCATCTATGAACTGTTGTACTTCGTCATAATTAGGACCTTGACGAACTTCTAGTGCAACACGGTCAGGCCCTTTATAAACATATTTGTATAAATACTTCACACTTGTAACACTACTGCAAATTTCAAGATTGATATGACAATCATATTTCAAGAGCAACCATGGGTTGTATGGAATGACCCAACTATTATCCACCAAGACGCTTGGATTACTCTCTACAGGAACTGACTCCCCTTCTCTTCTTCAATAAATAGGATATGAATCGTTTCCAAGTGTAGTAATTAAAGAAAATGGCTTTGGGAAACGTCTTTTGCACCGACCATTTGTCATACACGGGGACCATTCATTGTACATTCCACATGGGCCATGTATCATGTGTTTCAGAACTACACTGTATAATCTAGGCTCTAATCTCTTGTCTGGAATTTCAGCTCTGACAATGTTATCATAATCATCAGGAGTGCGTAACTTATCATTTTCATCCAAAATAATGACCATGTGGGCATGTGGTAAGCCTCTTTTCTGGTACTCAATAACATATGCATATGCCAGAACCTTACCGAGTACATGTTTTGTAAGAATGTCAGTCTTCATCTCATCAAATTTTGAATGAAATATTCTTGTTAGCAAATCAGGACGATCATGTGGTGACTGTCCAGGTAGCAACTCAGCTTTAATTTCAGGCCAATTTGGATTGCAGGTCATCGTAAGGAAAAGATCAGGTTTTCCATACTTTTGGACCAGAGCCATTGCATCTTGATATCGCTGATACATGTCTCGTGGGCTACCAACAAATGACGATGGCAATATTGTTCTACGACCAACATTACCTAAACAAATATTTCACAAAAGGAAAAAAGAAATTATATGTATGAATATAAACAAACATGCGTACATGTAATTGTAATATCGTACATGACAATTTGTACCTCCATAATTTTCACCAGCATGTATTGCATCTAGAAGACCTTGATAAAAATCTGCTCGAATGTGATTCTGATGAGTACGTATCCATCTTAATTTGTTGGACTCAATCTTCACGTAATTATCTACAACATACTGCTGTAAGAGACGACCTCCTCGAAGAAAAAGAGATTGATCACCAGGGCGAATCTGAATTGATAGTATTTCAATACTTATAAATAATTAAAAGTAAAGATTTTATACGAAATAATTATAGATTGAATAACTTCGACGAAGTAATTTTTTAATATTATGTATACGTCGTTACCTGTAGCATATAAGAATAGAAATCACAACATGTTACTTTTCTGCCATCATTACTTTTGGTATTTGCATCCCATCCATATGAACCATAGGGTAACAACAAAGGATACTGTAATGGATCATAAT